TGGAAAATAATGTGTTTTTTGAACCTTAAACCGCATAAACACATTTCATTACACCAAATACACAAAATAATGTTCTTTTTAGCAACATCATATGACCCCTTTAAAGACTATTTTATAGCTGCCCAGTTAAGGCCCATAGTTTGCTGGTGCAATCCAGACTATAAAGCTAGATGGAAACAGATTGATTTCTCTTTTTTTCTGAAATACTGAGTCAAGCAGTAATTGCAGATGATCATTTATTAAGAAAATATATAAGTAAAGAATATCCATGGATAACTACTATCCAAGAAATATGGGCCACAGTGATTAAAAAATATGATTTGAAAGACGCTCTAAAGATAATGAGATGGTGTGCATACGATACAGATTTCACTCCAAATACTCTAGATGAATCTTTTAAGAATTGGAGTAAGAAAAGCATTACATCATATTATTTTGTAACAAATACTACTTTCTTAACTTTCCAAGAATTTAAGAATCAGTTTAAGTTGGATAATCATGCCTTGTTTAGATGCTTTCAAATAAGACACTACTTTAATTCAAAAGTGAACAAGAGCGGGGATTGGGCACAGAATGATTTAGTGAAGATATTCCTGTTGGCATATAGGGCTAATACTACTAGTAAGGTAATCTCCAAATTTTATCGTTTTCAAAATTACAGATCAGATTCTACCTCATAAATTCAAATTAAATGGGAGAAGGAAGGAAAATCCCAATGGGAAACCACAGGATCACACCAGTGGAGGTTATTTGCATGGATAAATGTAATTAGATTTTTCGCAAAAGTGCCATAGTGAAATAGGATCTGGGTGTTGGAGACACTGTAATTCAGAAGTAGCAAATCATCACCATATATTCTGGGCATGTCCAGTTATACACCTGTTTTGGAAAGACATACACCGGACATTGGAGGCCATATTCAAGATTAATATCCCATTTCAGTTTCATGTGTTATATTTGGGAATTCTGTATTTGCATGAAACAAATTATACATATCTATGGAGAATATTCCTGGTTGCAGCTAAAAAGGCTATTACGTGTAAATGGCTTCAACTTAATCCTCCCACTCTAGAAGAATGGAAAGCAATTGTAATTGAAATATGTAAGATGGAAACCCTTACTTTTTCTGTAAAATTAAAAAAGCAAAAGCGGGCTATTTTATGGAGTATGTGGAAAGAATTTTTGGACTCTGAGAATTAGCAATGTTAAAATAGATACAATCATATCTCAGTATTGTAAATGTAATGTAACTATGCAAGGTCACAATTACACTGTACCTTGCCCAGCTGGGTTTCCCCCCCCACCCCTCTTTATTGTGGTTCTGTTCTCTCTTCTTTTTCCTTTTTATTGCCTCTTTATTGTATATCATTCAGGTTCTGTAAGCATTACAAAAATGTATCCTGAAATGCACAGAAGTCAGCTGATTTGAATGTAACTCATTTTTTTCTCTCTCAGAATTTTGTATAGTATCTTTTGACTTCCTTGACATAAAAAAAATCAAGCTAAATAGAAATGGTTTTAAAAAGCAAAAAACTAATGAAAAAAGCACATTACATTACTAAAACTAATAAAAACTGAAAATATAAAAATATAAGCTAATTCAAAATATTAACAAATACTATAACAGTATATAAATAATACCAAAACAACATTGGCATAAACCACCTTTATGATGCTTTTATGGTGCTTTTAGAGCTTAGCAGCTCTAAAAGTTCGCTTTCACTTTCATTTAATTAAAAAGAGTAGATATTTTTCAGAATTCTCCTTTTATGTTCCACAGAAGAAAGTCAAACAGACTTGAATTTATCTTTTTGGGCAAATTATTCCTTTATACTTTTAATTCCACATAATTGTTTCTAACGCGCAAACACATGAATCAGAACTCTGAATAGGCTACAATTAGCTTTTTCAAATTTAAATGTCTTTCTGACAAAAACCCAAAAAGGCTTTCAGAGAGACTGAGGGTCTAAAAGACGAGTCTAATAAATGTTTCTAGTCTCCAGGGTTATTGGGGTGGAAAAAGAGCATGGCAATGTGTGGACCTCACCTGAGCTCGACCTACATTAAAAGCCCTGAGTAGTGAACCCTCACTGGCCAGGGACGTTAAAAGCTCATTTTGAAAGTGCTGCTACCTCAGGGTGCATTATCAGAAACAGTACAGAGGACGGCTGCACAATGTCATCTTAACAGTACATCCGAGCTTAGCAGACTGTCGTCATCCTACATTCACTTTAAGAGTCCTTGCAAGATATTCCAGAATTCATCACCTCTCTAAAATTAGAAATGACATCACTGGGAATCATTAACACAGCTGGATTCATTCTCGGTTAATTAGCGGGCATCAACAGACCACTAGCACTTTTATAACACAAGTCACTTAGAAACCAGGTCAGCCAGTCAGCAATCGGGTCACTATGAAACAGAAAAATCTTCTCTACGTAGGCAGAACAAGCAATTAATGGTTTAAGAATCACTCTAGCTGTCTGCAAGCGGTGTTCAATAATTTATCTGAGATTGCAGCTGGAGTATGACGCGCCGACAGCCCACAGGGGTGAAATGGTTGTTTTTGAGTGGCTCTGCAGGCCAAGGATGAATAGGAGGGTGTTGCCATGGATACTCCTTGTCCCTGAATGATGATGATGTGCGGAGGGAGAGCAGGTGTGGGGAAGCGCCACAAAGACAGTGACTTATTAAGAATCCAGAGAGGCATTAGACATGCACACAGGAAGGGCTCTATAAATTAATCCAATGAGCTCATGCGTGGAAAGCAAGAATAGAAAATATAAGGTCACATAACACGGATGATTTACAAACCTGCACGCTGTTGTTTCCCACACTAGTTGCTCTTCTAAGGCGATGGCCCATACCCAATGCATCGCCCAGCAACTGAGCCAGTCTCCTCTCAATCGTAGCCTTGAAGATCTTGTCACTCACACGCTGGTCTAACACTCCCAACAACACTGAACGCAATGTGTAAAACATGACATTACGGCTTTACAATGACTCATTTGACATTCATCGGAATATTTGATAGTATAGTAACATTACACTACTGTTCAACAGTTGGGGTTGGTTTGTTTTAGAAAGAAGTCTCTTATGCTCACCAAAGCTGCATTTTTTAAAATCAAAAATACAGTAAAAGCAGTAATATTGTGAAATTATACTACAAATTTAAATAACTGTTTTCTATTTTAATGTGTTTTAAAATGTAATTAATTTCTGTGATGCAAAGCTGAATTTTCAGCATCATTACTCCAGTCTTCAGTGTCACATCATCCTTCGGAAATCATTCTAACAGTTGTGCTGCTTAACACTTTCACAGAAACTGTGATAGATTTTGTGTTTTAGGATTGATGAACTTGGAAACTTTGATAATTAGAATGTTCAAAAAACAGCACTTACTTGAAATAGAACTTTTTAGTAATATTATAAATGTCTTTACTGTCACTTTTGATCAGTTTAATGCATCCTCGCTGAATAAAAATATTAATTGCTTCAAAAAAATAAAATAAATAAATAATACTGACCCCTAACTTTTGAACAATAGTGTACTTTGGAATACCAGTGTGTTAAGCTTAACATCAGCAGGTCAGTACCTGTTCTAACCCATGAGGAACGAAGCAGTTGGGTTGTGTTCAGCTTTGGGTAGTGGAAAGCTAATAGTGCAGAGAAGAAAAAACATCAAATATGAACGAATATTATTCCATTTTCATTATAACACAGCAAACCTCACTGAAGCTGATTTCCAGGTAGCTGAAGCTGGTTTAAAAGCTAGAATACCAGTAGATGGACCACTTTGGCTAACCTGGTGGGTGCCCACAGTCTAACCACCTACACTGTTATAAAACCTAGTGTGACCACCTTAAACTGTTGTACATAGCAGCTGTTTTGCATGTGCATTTACGTAATTATACAGAAATCAGTGTGTGGACTCACGTTCTGCGATCTGCCGTACAGGGTAGCCCAGGTAGTAGCTGTACTCAACCACGCTGAGCTGTCGAAGCTGGGTGCTCACCTCTGTCCCTGGCACATACCCACGGATATCACGCACAGCAAAGGTGATCTCCACTGGAACCTTCTGCTGTTGTGCCGCCATTTCCACAGAACTCGTGGTGATGTTTAAAATCTACAAAACAATTCAGTCTCTAAGATACAATTACGTGAAACTAAAGCAATGAGACATCAAGATTAGACGCTCATTCTCCAGAAAGGGATTTTAGAAATTACCGTAACATAAAATATATTTCTACAAGATATATTTCTGTATCAATCAAGCATCTAATGTAAAACGTGAACTACTAAAATATATTAAAAAAATTATTTATAAACCAATTAAAATGAATAAAAATAATGAAATCATTTAGTTGCTAAAATACAATTATAAATGATAAATAAATTGATTAAAATCTTAATTAAAACATATAAAATCATACACACTTTATCCATGAAAGCTCATGGATTCTCAGCACAAGTCTCTTCATTCACACTCACTGATCTATTAAAGAAGCGCATACACATTCTGAACGCAAGTGAATGAAATGAATAAGAGCCATTAGTTTTGTTGCCTTGACAACGGTTGAATTGATCAGTCCTGTGCTTTCCTCATCCAATCAGAGCAAACAGCTGGAGATGATGTCATCCCACTACACTGAAGGCAATCAAGCCTTGAATTCACATCACATAACCGAAGTTAAAAGCATGCTCCTTGCTTGCTAAAATCAAAAACTTGCTTGTTCAAGGATAAAAACATTACTATGTAATTCTCATTTGGATGGTTTACATTATGTAGTAGTTGTGTATGTTTAAGCTAAACTAAACAAAATAAGCAAGAGGATTTGAAGGAGTTCAGTGTCTGGTTACTGGTGTTTGAAACTCAGCTGAGCTCTTAATACCATAAGCTGGGTAAAGCAGTCAACGTACATTCACAGTGAAGTTTGTGGACTCTTGTGAGCGTCGGCGGACTTCAGATAAAGCTGTGATCAGACCCTTCTCTGCCTGCTCACTGAAGGTACACATTCGCACATCTACATGGCTGGGTACAAACTGAAGAACTGCAGACAGACAAAAGACATGCATATAGCCATATAGCAACAACATTTAAATACCAGAGAGAATATTCAAGAACTGTGACGTGAAGTTTCCTCTGCAGTTACCTGTATGAACATGGTACTGCAGACCTGGTATAGGACTGATGGGTGACACGCTGATAAAGGAGCTGGTGGTCCGAGCAGAGATTCTCAGGGCATTAATGACTGATATGGCAGTATAAACCACTGCACCAGACACAGCACGAAACACAAAGTCTGGAGGAGCTTTCACTACCTACAACACACAAAGGAGCATTTGATGTCAAGGATATGTACATCATATTTGTAATAGCAATTTCAAATCCTTTTAGAGCACATGGAGAAATATCAAAAAGCCTTTCAGTGTGCCTTTAAAAGTCAAGGCAGATTCAGTATTGTGTTTAAATGCAGAGAGTTACAAAGAACCAGTTGGTTCCCATTGAGCCAAATTAGGTGTTGTTTGTTTATGAGGACCCAAGAGATAAAACAGGAAGGGATGATTTTATCTATACAGTATGTTCTACTGACACAACACTGGATTACAAAACATATTTAAAGTTTCTATGGTTCAAACCAAGAGTAAGCAGGTTAAACTATCAATATCATGCTAAATTCTTAAAAGAAACAAATTCTTAAACAAATTAATTTCTAATTTCTCTACAGCTTTCTCAGGCTGAATAGAAGTCACTGTTAATTTCAATAGGTAGTTCTTGAGATATTGAAAAATAAAAGTACCCATAATACATACCTAATACCTAAATACCATACTTATGTTTTCAACAAAGTTGTAAATTCAGTTTATGCAATAAATAGTAATATCGCAAAAACTACTTTTGTGTGTGTGCAATATTCCATCTATTTCCTGTTAACATTTTTCTTTGCATCAAGGTGCATTTTTATATCCCAAAATATGCATTCAAATATATGCATGGAAACCTACATAATGTTCTTTAATTAAAAAAATAAAACATTATGTTAAAATGTATATTTTTAGATGCTTTTGCATCATTAAAAACTTGTAGCTTTTTGTTTTTGCAATTAAACTTTTCTGTGGAATAACAAATACATTTTTAAAAGTACAAATATTCAATAATCTAGCAATTAATTAAAACATCATCTATAATAAAGGTATTTGCAATTGTAGCTGTATTGTAATACTGTTTAAAATACTTTTAGATGAAGTACAATTGTTGTCACTGCTTTAAATTAATAAAGACATGAACAAAAAAGAGAAAAACAAATCTATTCATTATGTCCACAGTACCTGTAGCTCCACAGAGCGGTTATATTCTCCTTTGAGAATCTCTCTGACTTTGGCCTTGGCATATCCAGCAGTGGAACCTGGAGGAAACCCTACAACAGAGCAACCGTGTTATTTTTAGAACCTTAAATATTAAAATAAAATACTATAATGCTTGCATGATTGCTAATCCAGTTATTGCTTAAGGTGCTTAAGTGCTTTATGTAGCGAGTTGCACATTTATCCTCAAAAATGGACATGAGCACCTTTCTGGTGTAAAAATGTGCAGCAAGTTCATTTTTGTTATGTCTTACCAACTCTGATCAAGTAGGTGTCAGGTTTAGTGATGCTGCAGAGATATTTCCGGGCAGTGGTTGTTGGGAGGGTTGTGGATTGGGTTGTAACTGATGTGTCATTCAGGGTAGTCACTGTTGTGTTGTTGGAGCTTGAGATAGTGAAAGGCGCCACAGTAGTGTCATTATGTAATACTGGGGAGGTCGTGGTTGTAAGGTTACCGATCAGTGTGGTGTTATCGCTATCAGTAACCATGGTGTCAGGTGTTGTTCCAGACACAAATCCTTCATCAGCCATCACCGTTGCAGGAGGGGTGGAGATGATGTTGAAGGTTGAGTCAGTTGGGTTTTCAGAAACACTGATAAAGCTGGTTACTAAAACAGTGGGAAGTACACTACTAGGAAAGAGGGTCTCTGTTGGAAGTGAGGTGATAATCCATTGGCTGTTATTAACAGAAGACACGCCATCTGGTTCCTTGGTCACTGGAGGTGGGGTAGTCACCAGTAAGGAAGTGTTGTACGGTATAAAAGGTGTTGTAGCCCAATCAGTGGTTGAGTTTATATCTTCCAATGAAGCTGAAGGGTCTATTGTTGGTATAAACGACGGCTCCAAATATGGCAGTGTAGTATCTGTTAAACTCGGTCCAACTTCAGAGGGATCCAAGATAGTGGTGTTAAAAGGTTCAAATCCAGAGATATCTGTTGAGGATTCCTCAGTCCAGGAACTGTTACCTGTAGGCTGTAGATCTTCCTCAAACAAAGCTGTTAGCATGTAACTTGGGTCAATGGTGTAGGTTCTAGTGCTCACAATATGTGTGGTGCCAATCGGAATGAAAGAGAAAACACTAGAGGTCGTCTGATTGGTGTAGTACTCTAAACTGTTCATGTCTGGTAAAAGAACATCGGTGGGTTGGACTGTAACAGTGCCTGGCCAGTCAGATGCCAACTCTGAGGTCTCATTGACAGACTGGTTCTGGTTTAAGACATCTGAAGTTGTCGGGAGAATAGGTAAAGAATGGACTCTGGTTGGCTGGATGGTTGAAACGGTGTGTCCAATGTCTGATGTCAAAATACTGGTGAAATCTGGAGGTCTTGACATGGTAAAAGGCACAACGGTTGTAAAACTCTGAAAGGTTGTTACATGTTTGGTTAAGTCAGTGGTGGCTCCATTCAAGGTTGAATTGCTATTGAAACTGGGACTTTCAACAGGTTTGCTGGAGAAAGAATTAGTAACACTGGTAGAGGAGGGATACAAGTGTTTGCTGGAAAATGACATCACCATTCTTGTGGGGAACGTGGTGTCATAGGTCTCTGAATTTGAGTCCTCAAAGTCATACACATCAGTGACTAGACTGCTAACCAGTGAATAGTCATTGCCTTCAGATCCCATGAAGGACATTGTTTCTAGGTAATCTCCAGAGCCATACTCCACATCCATAATGTTGGTTGGGAAAAGGTCTTCGGGTGGGCCCATAGTTGGCTCAACAGACACTGAAGTCATTTGATGGTGTACAAAAACTAAATGACTTGGCTTCAATTGCTGATAGCCTAGCTGGGTGTTGGGGTCATGGCTGGTTTGTAACTGGAGGTCTTGGATTCTCCTAGATGGTTCCAATCTGTCTCCAAAAGGAACCTCAGAGTCACTGACTCCCACAGTCCCATACTGTGTTTGAGGGGATGGAACAGGAGGCTCGTCAGGAGAATCTTCTCCAACTGAAGGCAAGCTAGATGGCACAGATGAACCTGTAGTCTGTGATATTTGAGGAGCTGGGCTGATAGCAGACCAAGATAAGGGCACATTATGGGAGGTAGGCACTGGAGAATTTAGTTGTCGAGGCTGTCTGGAGGAACCTCTGGAGGTATATCCAACTCCCTTTCCAGACTTTAAGGAACGTAAAGGAGGTGTGGCAAGAGGCTCTGGGCTTGTGGCAGAGTTCAGGGAGTAAGCGAATACCGATCCAGTGTTAACATTGTGATTGTAATTCTCTGTGGCTTTGGATGGATCCGAACTAGGTGAAAGAGAAAATCCAGACAAGGCGGAGAATGCATTGTGTAGCACTTCCACTGAAGACTCATTTGGCAGGTTTGGAGCATCCAAAGGCCAGACTAAGGGAGACACAAAGACAAAATCAAATAAATGAAATTATCTAATGCAAACTTAAAAAGTAGCAACAAAACTATGTGGAAAACAGCTAAATGCACAAAGCAATGCACATATCTACCTAATCGTTGCAATTTTGTAACTATACATATTAGTGTACAGTTCGCAGATACACAATATTATTGTGCTAATTTATTTAATTACTTACTTAGTTTCATTGCTGGAAAGTGAACCAACTCCAGCGTAAGGCTAAAAGCAGCCGAATGTTTTTAATATGGCTGAATTTGTATTTAACATGATAACAATTTAATAGAAACATTTTAAGTTACAAATTATAATGCTTACATTTCCTCAGTTATTCAAAAAGCAGCTACAGAAAACGAGCAAAGAACATTTACATTACCGAAGAACATCATAACTGACTTCAGTCTAGCACGAGTATTATGCACTTTAAAAAATACTGTCGTTATAATCAGTGAAGCTGAAAGATGAATACACTGCACACATCTGCGGTGTGGTGCGTTGCGGCTCCGACACGGACACTGGATCTGATCGTGGCCACTCTAGTCAATGCTTGTTTATTCCAGCTGCGCCACGGCATGTTTCTGAAGAGTCACAGAAGCGGCTCTCTGTGCTGCATCGCTATTTTTGACGGACAATAAATATTAACAGTAATAATAATAATAATAATAATAATAATAATAATAATAGGCTTGTTATCGTCAAAGGTATCACCAACAGGCGATATCTCTGACTATCGATACATGATACTATCGTCTATTAGCACAACCCTAATACATATAGAAGGTTTATTATAATTCAGTTGTATATATCTATAGTTAGACACCGCTGTAACAAACTACCACAAACTCTTTGCGCAAGCCTTAAACACATCTCTATTCACCCTTTGAACCAATAAGGTTAAGTAACTGGGAAAAATATTGATTTTGAATTGATTCTTGACTGATTCATGTCAACAAATTGCGTCAATCAAGCCACACCAGTAAATAGAGTGAAACACAAATACAGAGTGAGATCATTCACTGGACGTTATTTCACACAGTTACATCAAACAGTTTGAGTTCTGAGGACTTTCATCATGCCATTGCACCCAGATGCTTCAAGGCTTTTTCTCTTGCATAAGTCGCATTGTCGTGATTACCCAAGTCACAATCTCACACATGTGCGGGAGGTTTGGAATGTGCCAAGGCCACGAAACAGGAGAGTATTTAAATAATTAAGCGTGCTACTTTCAAGAAGGATTCCTGAAAGCAGTATCGGCCTGTCTGGTTTATATTCCACTACACGTTTTATAAACTTTCCATTTGCATTGCTTTTTACGGTGGGTGCAGAGGTTGGGCATAAAAGCTGGCAATGTTTGGCTTGGTATTCAGAAGCAGCTGCACCGTAATGAAATGACCCATTCTGAGACGAAGGATGGAAGGCAAAGGTTAGAAGCTTCTTAATGAAGCATGAGTGAGCAAAACAGTCTCATGCCCTATTCAGATGAGACTAGTTTTCACCGAGGAGGTTAGGTAAATAATTCCTCCTCATTTATTTTGTCATTGTGCACATTATGGATTTAAGACCTACTTATTCTTTACCTATTGTATTTACCTTTACACAGTATTGTAAGGTAAATATTTCAACGCATGATCACAAATGTCATGCCAAAAAAAAATCATATTTTAAGCTACATTGTTTCACATATAGTGTGGCTTTACATCAATACACACCTGATTGTGTCATATAGCATAAAATTTCTAACAGTTGTGGGTTTTAGTGCTATAATAAACACATTGGAACACATTGGATGCGCTATTCTCTCAAACCATCAAAATAATATATAATATCATGACCCAGATATCAATATAATATCATATTAGGAGGATTAGCAAGGTGGCATTGATCAATGAGAAATTAGGTCAATGCATATGCTATTATTTACCTCATTATTTACAAGCCAACCATAAGAAATGAAAGATAAAACTGTTTTCTGTTTTCAAACAGAAATTACAATGAACTGTGACTTGCTGATTTCAAACCCATAGAAGCTGAATAAACCAAAACACAGAAGATACTCCACTTTTAGCATAAAAAGGGTCCTTTATACCTTTTTAATGCTTCATTCATGCTACCGGTTTTGCCATTTATATTCAAATGATAATACAGTAACAGTCAGTCATCTGCAACAAATAACATTCAATGCAGCTCAAGGTTCACATGTAGACATGTAGACACCATTATGAAACTCGTAACTTGAATGTGATTCATATTAGAAACATAGTAATATTTCAACAACCTCTCAGATTCAAAGCATAAGCCAGACGGATTTGTGACTCAGCAATAACTGACATCACTCAGCCTTCTGAAGAATCTCCCCCAACACATGGACTTCATACAGACTTCTTGTTAACCCACAATTCTATATTTAGACTCCCCAAAAAAGAAAATAAGACATGGATGTCAGGGAGAACACGCCTTCATATAAACTCTGGCTCTGTCATCAAAAGAAACAGCATTAGAGAAAGTTCCATAGCATCAGCCAAGTCCACTGACCACTTTAAAGATGATGAAAAAAAAGAAGAGAGAAACGGTTTTTGGCATTAATTATGTGATTGAATTTTTATCAAATATAAATCACACAACAACATTGTGCAAAAGAAACATCTTATTCTACATTAATCAAGTCAATATGCTCTGTGTTTGAGCTTCTTCAGAGTAAATAGTTCTTTGATAGTCTATGAGGCTGTGTTACTCGTTGCAACGCTCTGCGCCAAGTGTTTGAAGCCCCTATAAAGCAGGCGGCTGTGTAAAACAGATGATCAACTAAATAACAGAGAAAGAGTATGAAGCAGAATAAAGAGAAACAGTTGTTAGACCTTAACAATTACAGTGAGGAAAAAGTAGGTAAAGCCTAAAAGACACCACAAACACTGACACTAAGTGTTATTGTTTTTTTTTTTAGTTATATTTTTGGGCTTTTTATTCCTTTATTATTCAGACAGGACAGTGGAGAGATGACAGGACAGTATTGGGTATAGAGAGGGGAGCGGGATCGGCATAGGACCTTGAGACAGGAATTGAACTCGGGTCGCCACGAGCACAGTCACGCTTGTATATGTTGGCGCACTAACCATGAGGCTATCGGCACCACCAGCATTGTTATTAATTAAAACAAACTATTAAAAATTTTTTTCCTTGCAATAGACCAGAAATAAAATAAAATTATCAGGTGAAAAACTTTGCTGCCTTGGCTGAAATAAAGCACTACAATGACTAAAACTGAAATAAAATTACATTAAATAGAAATATAAAAACAAAACTACAGAAAAAATAACTAAACTAAACTAAAATTAACTAAAGAACAAATTAAAATTAAAACTGAATTTTTTTCTATTCTGTCTTTTTTTATTTATTATATAATTTAAAAAAACTTTCTACCCGTACTGTGTTAGGCTAACTCAGACTTGTCCTAGCACTTGTATATAATTGCTCTTGTTGATTTTGATTGCTTCTATTGTCCTCATTTGTAAGTCGCTTTGGATAAAAACATCTGCTAAATGACAATGTAAATGTATTAGTTAGATTTAGTAGCTTTAAATTCCTTACTACTCAAACTTAAGTTCATACAATTAAAATATTTAACTTAAAAGCTTAAAAAAGACCTCACCACTTTCATTAATAAAAAGTTGAAAAGGACAATATTAGCCCAATTTATCTACATTTTTGAAAAGTCACACAAAAAAAAACCTTTATAATCATGATAAATTTTCCTTACTTTATTTTTAAAATCATATTATGATTTTGGGACACACTAATTGTCATCTTGCTTACTATTTAGTATGCAAACTGGGACACAGCATACAGCACACTGACAACTCCGTAAACTCAAAAGAGAGTATTGATGTACAGTTCTAAATAAACCACAAACCTAGTGCAAAAATGATGGCATTTCAGCTGCGTGATTGATGAAGCTCTAAAACTCACAGGAATCATCAATATTCACAGTTTGATATACGAGTCTCTTTGAGAGGGATGCGAGAGTCATTAATTAATCTTACTGTGGCAATAAGTGGTTTAAATGACACACGGGTGAATGCTAATGTGTTCAACTATCTCAACCAAACATCAATTGCTGATCCACCATTTCTCAGGTCACTGAGCGAGACTAAAGCTAACGAACAGGACAGAAGAGGCACAGATTACTGCCTGACCTCTGACTTCATCAGATGAGTGCTCGGACATTTACATTTCTATTCTCAGATCCCTATTCCCTCAGGAGCCATTCAATAAAATATTAAAGCCACAACCACCCATTTCTGTGCTAGGCCAATCAAAATGGATTGTTGACCCAGTTTTCAAAACACTACAACTGAAAGTCATGTAACACATCTATGATTGACAAGCAAAGAGGACTCTGTCCTAAGTCAAACAAAATGGCATTTTAAATTTGTCTTGCTAATTTCATAGCTCCAATTTTATGTATCCAAAATACACACAAATAATAATAGATTCAAATTTTTTGCATTAATTTGACAAAACTACATCTTGATTGGAATATACAATAAACATTCTGTTCACAGGTGATCTTTACTTTTTTCTGTTTTCTTCATTTATCATGTATTTAATCTCAAGTTTGCATGCAAATGTTTGCATAACAGTTGCTCTGCACCCCTTTACCTAAATTCACTACTTCAGACTTAGGCTGTGCCTTCTTGAAGCTTGCATTCTGCAAGTGAATGGCGCATTATAGTGCCATCCAAAAGAGGCACAAAATCACTTTCACAAACTTTTCCATTAACTGTTCCCTCCTGGTGGAATGACCTGCCGATCTCAATCCGAACAGCTGAGTCCTTAGCCATCTTCAAAAAACGACTAAAAACACATCTGTTCCATCTTTATTTGACCCTCTAACTCTAGCACTTTCTATTCTATTTTAATTATTTCTATTCTCAGATCCCTATTCCCTCAGGAGCCATTCAATAAAATATTAAAGCCACAA